AATAAAGCTAAGCAATTGTCAACTTGCCCATCCAACTAGTTCCATGATAGGGCACAAAACACTGGCCTTAGAAAGGCTCTATCTAAGCATACGATCAACTTTTCTGGAGTTCTTCGAGGATTTATGTCGTTCCCATATTTATTTTCCCCATACATTTGTGATATTCCTATCATTTCTTCTACACGTGTTTTGAAATATACATGTTATGTTGTGCCAACCCATTTCTCTCTCTGACATAGGTTCGTTTCCCGATAATCTTTTTCCAGTCTCACTTCCAATTGAGGCTAAGTTCAAACCCCAGCAAATGCTTTGANCAGGCTCTTCATTGCCGACAGACCCCTCGGTGATTGAAAAAAAACTATCCTTTATCCAGGATGAACCGTGTCAAATAAATTGATATAACTAAAGATAATCATCGTTGTTGGTCAACTCAAATCCACAAATACAATGCAATACTGTGGTACCTATCGTTTCAACTTCAAGAACCAAGTTTTGTGCTTCCCAGTTAGTTATTTCTCCCTTTTGTATTCCAGTGTGTTTTCCCTACAGATTTTTTTGTTCCCCAGTTATTTCCCCAGGCTTAATTAAACACGATTTCAAAACCTCACTCCGCCGTCATAGGATCATTAGCCACGTTTCTTTAGTTTATGTGAACAGTTTCATTGTAAAACTGTTAGATCATGGCACAAATTCTTTTGCCAGTCTTGCGGAGAGGATTCTGGTGAACACTCACAACCCCGTTGCACACAGAACTGACAAGTTTTCGTTTCCATCCTTCCACGCACTCTCAATTCCGACAAATGTCCTCTCGAGTAAACGCTTACAGAAATTCATCCATATCCCAGATCGCACGCTTTGTCACAAACAAAAAGTGGATAACAAGTGAAATTTGTCTTAAACTTGGACTATGAAATGTCCTTAGGTCTGCTGTAAACAATTTTCCCGTTGAATACGTTCCGTGTAACGGTTGGCATATATACTAAAAAGATGAATTGCAAACTTCAGCGTCGGCGTTTGCCTATTCTCCGAGCTGGACGTGTGAATCGAAGACACTTCCTAGCCAGACTGGATAACATCGTCAGTGCTTGCAAAAATTACACAATACAATACAATATAGTTATTATAATCTGCGTCTCGCCAGGTTTTTCCGTAAATCGTCAAAAACAATAATTGAAATAGTTGCAGTTCGTAACAATTGAGTTTTGGTCATAAATTAAACATAATGACTTAAACAATCAACATCACTGAAGAAATCTGTCCATGAAGTGCATTGACCGTACGGATCATCATCATCATCACATCGTTCGTGGAATTCGTCTCAAATCAGCAGTGTCAACCAAAATTCACCAATGAATCGAATCGTCCCCATGGATCTGCGGACCACATCGAAACCCGACAGCAAAGACCAACGAGGGTTGAGCGAAACACTGGACTGCCGGGTTGGTCAGTGATCAGCAAAAGTACAAAGCGAATGCTGATTTCCAATGAGCAATCATATTTCCGTAGGTTCACTTTATCATTTCCGATTGGAAACAAATCACAGAAACTCTTGGAAATATGACAGCAGGCGAAAATCCCATACTCATAATTATTTGTTGTAGTGATGTAAAGTGAATATGTGCATTCAAGCTGCTGATGAGCGCGGGCGCGAGAGAGAGAGAGAAACAAATTCGCGGTAAAATCACGTGGTCTTCCCCATCCCTTCCCCACCAGTTCAAACACATTGAAAGTCGGTAGAATGTGCAAAGGTTCTTGGCACGAATCCAATGAAGCTTGATTACATATGGTAAACGGACATATTATTCACTAAAATTTGACGAAGCTATCCAAGAGCTGAAAAGAGAACCAGAATGTGGAGACCATACCAGGTGTTTCCCGAAGGTATGGACAACAATTCACAGTAGTCAAAGTCTGACTACGATTTCAAAATTGGGTTAGATGCTGCATGACTCCGTTATTTCAGTCGGATGTGTAATTGTCCCCTGGAGGATAAGTGGTCAAGTACAGCGCGCGACAACAGTATAGGATCTCCTCAGTTGCCAGCACATTTTCGCTTCGGTATTCTCTAAAAGGACCCTTTCTGGTTATTACTCCAAGTTCTTCCACGATCAAAATTGCCGGTTCTCATGACCAAACACGGAATCGCTCTATCCATAGTGTTCACTCCTTCCACTAATGGCCATCAGATGCTGGTGATGGTGAAAAGTTTCAGTTTTCGCTTTTACAACCCATCAACTATACACATAAGTCTGCCGGTTTTGGTTGCTTTCTTTGGTGGCCCATTTGGATAAAAGAGCAGAATGAAGAATGAAATGTTTAGAGCAGAGTTAAAGAGAAAATAGATAATTCTTATAAACTGCGGTTGAAAGAATAACGAGTAGATGCATTAACGTTACGGTTTGCGACACTCAGTCATATCATTCATTGTAGTAAACCAACGGTTACCATGATCTCGAGGTCCCCATTCAGAGAACGTAACCGAACCCAGTCTCCTGGATACCTGCTTACTTTACGGCGGCTGGCTCCTTGGAAACGATAAGTCGGCTCCAGACATGGTCATAATCTAGATTATGAATTTCCTTGGGAGTTTGGTTCGAGAAACGTCCCCAGAGTCACTTGGCGTTTTTCTTTCGAGGGCACACCTCTAGCCTTTGCACAACCAAGTGCGAACTGAAAGACAGCAGGAAGTAATTCCTCGCCTCGGAATTGACGGGGTCAATCACTTTAGTTTTAAAAGGCCAATCACATCGACCTTTGTCATGATACTGTCACTGGGTTTACGCGGCTTTTAAACAGGAGCCAGGTGATCAGCCTGAAACCCTACGCACCCTGGTAGTACCGGTGCTGTTTGTTCGCGACTGCTTATTTGCTTATTTTTCACAGCTAACTTTCTTCGGCGAAGGTGTCCCAATATCCACAACTCGGGGACGCCCCTGGTAGCATTCAGTTCACGCGCAAAAACTGTCCAAACCAACGTAGTCCACGTGGGTTGACCACTTGCTACAGTGAACGACCGCGATTACTATAAACTCTGTGCCTAAGCTCAGCACTGCTCGTCCCGTGACTCATCAGACTCGCGCAATGCGGCTTAGACAGTGCTGTTTGAACACCGGCAGTTGTACGGGAAAGCAAAATTTGACCGAGATAGAGTGACCTCTGTGTGTTTGTGCTCGATTGGACATCGAAGTGTATTGGGCACCTTGGACGTTTGACCCCGTCTAAATGGCGAATGATCCGCTGAACTGGACACTGGCTCCCAATGGATCGCGGCTTTCGCAAACCGCCCTGCTGCCTTGCGGGTCAGGCTTTGGCTAGCCGAAGGCTCCGGTGGTGGATTCCTCAATAAAATTCACCTGCCTTGGCCTCGACAACCTGGCAGTATTCCACCCACATGCAAATCATGGAACGTTTTTCTTTTTCATAAACATTATTGTACCACGATTCGTTTGGCAAACTGTCCGGCATCAGATGTGTGTGAAAATACATGTGAAAACATCAATGCACTTACAGTCAGTAAGTAACTTGAATACTGCGGACCACCCAGGATTGTATTCAACCTCTGGATCCCGGACCAATCGGATTTGCCGA